ATAAATACCGCCACTTTTGGAAAAGTGGAAGTTCTGAAAAGATAAAAAATCGAGTTTACCAAGTAACTTGAAGTTTCCAATGCGGACGAGGCCTTTTCATGCAAAAAATACAGAGTACATAGAGCACCGTAAGTAGAATTATGTTTGGAAATACTCCTTTGTGAAAATGTGGGACACATGTGCTTCCATATTACGTGCAATGTAAAGTACGGCCTTTCCCAAACAGACAAAGTTTCGAGTATTTACTCTAACCTGCTTTTTGTTCCTTGCGTTTATACAATGTTTGAGATACGCTGATTACGCTGATTACAGCATCGTAGGAATAAGCTTTTTCATAAGATTAAATGTGGGCATGCTGGGCAGTGACTAATAAATGCAAATGGAATTTTCAGATGCAGTCCTAAACGAACCACTTCGTGTAAATTAAGAAAAATTGCCTTTATCACACTTTGTTTATGAGTTCGGGTGTCCGGTTAAGATGAAGTTGAGATAGCTTTTGAAAGTTTGGTGAAAAGTTTATGATTTTCTGTCAATTTTCCATAAATAAGAATTCAGTTCTACATGTTCATCAACAACTTGAAAATGGCATGCATCGTAAAAGCATTTACCGAAATGGTGTGCTTTAGTACATACTTTCTAATTTGGCTGTCTATTTGGGTGCCAAATAATTGCTGAAACATGAACGTCCACAACAAAAGTCACAAATTAAGATGCCTATTCTCCATTAAAAACTTTCAATAACAAGAAACCTCTTGAAAATGCGCTTAAACCAAATCACTCGACGTTGAATTTCTGCGTAATTAACCTTATTTTAAGGTTATGCTGAGATAAAATGGGAATGTTTTATTGGTTTTTTTGCCTTCTCTTAAAATTAGGGATAAACCATCTGCGGAACGTGAAAGAACTCACGTTTCTTTGTATAGTTGGGTGCCTTTCGGAAAACTTTTCTACTTGAAGGCCCATTTCTAAGATCCCAAATACACAACAGTGTGATCCCCATAGTTGCACTTACGTGATATTCATGAACGCAAAGCATAATTTTCGTTTATCTGGAATTTTAGAATTGAAATGTTTCTGACTTATATTTGTGGTAGTTTATAGTACAACACGCATAAACTAGTGGTTTCGGTTCTCAGCATTTAGTAATATGGGAAATTCCTTGGATACCAAGAACCGTTGCATTTTACCCCTTTCTGCTTATTTATTCCTTAATATCTCTGAGTTGAACTTGATTTCGTTATAGCAAACATTGTTGGCGCCTTAAATACAATCAATAAACAAATATAACAATCCCAATTATGTATCAAACTGCTCCAACAAAGTTTGATTTTCACATTTCATGCGTAAGACCATTTTCTGTCATGTTTTAAGACCCAGCTCGTCACACTGATCTATGTTCTTTGTTTAGATCTAAATGAAAGCCGACATACCTAATGTTTCGAGCCTTAGTATATTCATTTATAGTATTATGACGTTTAATCTATAAGAACTCCATAACTAATCAACTATGTTTGAAATCTGAGTCTTGTAACCCGGGTTTGGGACTTGGCTGTGTTTTGCTTGTGTGTAAACCAAAATTGGCCACTTTAGTTTCATTTGGCTTGTAGATTGCCCCCCCCCTCGAATAATGATTGATAGTCGCAATTTCGTTAGAAAAAGAGCACCAGGACAAAAAACAAAATTTACACATCTGTCCTGCATTACATTCTGAACCGCTAGATGAGCATTATTTCACTCTCGGCTAGGAAGACGAGAATCCCAGCATGGACCTCGGCGAACTCCAAATTGATCGATAATATAAACCTACTTACGGCCAGAGATGGATTGTTCAGGGAACATTAGTGCACAATAAACCATGTGGATAGGTTTAGCCATTTTGATCGTCAGGCGGTGCACTTTTTGATGCGCGCACCGTTGACTCCCGTGCTGCTTCTGGAAAATATCAATGTTGTTAATCTGACTTAGAAAAATACGAAATGCAGCGTCGTGTGATTACCACATCCGTGATCCCTCTCTATCTCTTGGTCGAGGTAATATAACACGTATTCTAATACTAATTTTGCAAAATGATTAAATAATGAGTATAACACATATCAACATGATGATTTTTAGATAATTTTGTCGTATCTATAGTAATGTCCAAAGTTTCAAGCCATTTTATTCCTAATACAGTGACTTCACAAACCTTTCTTTAAAATGGGCCTTCTTTTCTATTTTTATTTCCAACTTAATAGAAAATAAACGTTACAATTTTATTTCTTCAGTATACGTCTCTGGGGACAGTTGTTTACTACTAACCAGTAGCACCCGTCACCGTATCTGAAGTTCGGTTATATTCAGTTGGCAAGTTAATAATTATGATAAACAGTGGAAAGCATATCTCAAACTATTTCGCTTATTATAAACTGTTTGTTTCATATTATTTACATCTTAAAAACGGTTAGAAAAATTATTCTCCAAGATGTCCCACTATGAAAGTTCTACTTTTCCGTGAAGGCTATCAAACGAATAAGTGTTAGTTACAGTTTCGCAGCTGCATTTACGGACAGTTTGATAAGTAAAGCTTGTCCACAGAAGAAACTACTGTTACAACTTTTAGGTAAACAGCGAAATTCCCATCAAATCTTATAATAAGTAGAAACGAAGGAAGCTAACCATGATTACCTGTGCGGTGCGTTTTTCTTATAAATTGGAATAAGGCCACTCAATATTCCGAATTAAATTGCCCCCGCTTATCGGTTTCCTAGCAGGTGTGCACTTCTCTCCTTATGCCAGCATTTGCAAGTGCTAAAGCCCAGCCGAATATATTCAGCAGGAAGACGAATAACATGCATTTATTTAAATTTGTAAGGCTAAAACTGTAACCCAAAAGCGCAGGAATACTCGCTTGAGTTAAAATTATACAAATTGATGCCGGGTTATGGTATTTCGATACAAATATTTGTTGAGTAGAGAATACATTTTGAATATACCACCGATTAATATCCCGCAGTACGGTTTATGAACTATGTTTCCGTGTATAACGTAGGTGAAACCTCCACGAAAGCACACGTATGCTCGCAAACTGCTCCTCTGGATTCTTTAATGAGAATTTTTGCAATGCTTAAAGCGGTATTTCTTGGCTGAGCTGACGTCTACGGTTTACAGGAGTATCTCGTCTCGAAGCTATCTCATTCACAAGTTCTTACTTGGTTTCCTGTTTAGGTTTTTCAGGTGACTAAAATATATTATCATACACGTTTTCTGTCACAGGAAAAGACAAAATACGAGGAGGAACGAGAGAGTCTCTTGGTCCAACTCCGCCTTCACCAGGACTCGCCACTCACCCGAAGTAACTGTGAGGCACAATGCACTCCAGACTCTGCTGGAGCTGCGTCAAGTCCCACTAGCGGGCCTTGCGCTGAAAATCACTTACCAAACTTCTTTTTAAACTCCTCTACGGACAATCTTGTCCATCCTTCCCGCTCCGAGGGCCTTTCCAGCAACAGAAAATATCACGTAGACGATGCGTCGACCACCTCACCGTCATCAATTTGTAACGGCTTTGCCGCTTCGCCGGTCCTTCCGAAATCTCAAAGCTACGGCTCAGGGAGCTCCGTTGAACCGCTGTACTCTGCCGTGCGAGCTACCGGGGTTGACGCAAGACTCTCCGCCGTAACTCCTGCCTTCTCTGCGGTAAGCTGCCCTCGCCCTCCCGAAGACGCAGTTTTATTCCTGTTAGATTTAATTTCCAGCCGATTAGACTGCTGCTGCAGCCTTACTTTTGTAATTTATTGGGAAAATAAGCCGTGAATAATTACCAACTGCCCAATTAATGCGGGCTTTGAAGTAAAAATTTGAATTTACGAAAAAAATGACAACCCTGGGACTGGTCTAGATATAAACTGAGATACCTCACTAAAAAACTGACAGATGAGCACACAGAAAACCATTGCAAGTTGAATTACTTTAGATTTAATAAGAAGGAAGTGTTTTGAAAAAATAGAATCTGCTCAAACCTTGGAGACTGATATCAGTTAAGAAAAAATGATTTGTTAACGAAATTATTCACTCCATTCGCTTAACAAACTAAGTTTTATGAAAGTAGAAATGTCTGCATGACTTGTAGATGATCCTTGGGTAAAATATGCTCCTAGAGGTAGTGTAGCAAGCACTATGGGAGCCAGCCACCTGTTCGGTTCCCGCGACGTATTTCAAAATTGTCATTATAAGTCGGACTGGAAGTATTTGGCTTTCGCATTGTTCGAATTGCAGTCGTCCGGAGCAAAGAATGTTTTATTTGATTTCTGAGTGGAGAAGTTTCAGAAATAAAGGTGGTTTTGTGAAGGTTGAGGGGTCTGTACGTGAATAAGAGCCGTAGGTAAAAGTAACGGGTGCAGTACTATGCGTGTAATTTTTATCGGTCATGGGAATATGTTCTCTGTAAAATTGCCATGGGCATTCTGATGACCACGAAGTCCATTGAGTTTTGGGATTCTTGGCAGATAATATTGCCGGTTAATACAAGGGAAGCTATAATGGCCATTTCTGGCTGATTAGCCATCGTCAGCCAGTCATACCCAGGCCCAAGTGGTGTCTCATCCGAGCCTCGAACTCGCGACTTTTTTGATCAAAGTCAAAAGTCCTAACCATTGAGCCACGAACTGGTTGTCTTGCCGGTTTACGACGGGGGATATTGACACTCGATGAATGTTCATCCAAACGCTAACGGAACTGATCTGTCCAGTCCTGCCTTGGGCCTCGACAGAAGTAGGCAGATAGTATTGCTAGCAAAGACAAGGGAGAATGGAATGACCATTTTTGGCTTTTTAGCCGTCGTCAGGCAGTCATACACAGGCCTCGAAGCTTATCGAATACTTCGTAGTCTTTGGTGTTGTCGATCAATTGTTTTTGAGAAAGCGGTACTTATGGTTTATAGCCATCAAAAACCTTCAATACTTCAAAGCTTTTCTCTGTGGTGAGTTCTCGGGAATCACTTTTTTCTGCCGTTAGCTTTTTTGAGTAGCCTGACACAATCTTGAAACTTAATCTTCAATGACCGTGGACGTTCGCAACGAAAACCTGTGATTAATATATCAATGGCAAAAGTGTATCGGCATGGCCAGCCTGCAACCCAGAAAGCCGTTGTTTATGTGTCAGATGTACAATGTATGCACGCGATAAACACTGACGCACCTCCAACGGTTACCGCTACTTCGTTTAAGTTCGGCAGAATGCCGCGTCTGAAGTGTACTTTGCAGCACGGGTCGTGCTCGGGAGGCCGATTATTTATTTTTAACCGCCGAGCGCATAAACTGCGCACTTCGGACTTAACTTACCATAGTCAGGCAGTGTTGTTTACTAGGACTATATCCTGGCCACTAAATTCAGAATACCGATGGATCTCACCAGCTGAATGTGTTACCTTTCGACGTGAAATATAGGCCCACTTCATGGGAAAAAGATAAGGCTAAAATTACCCAGATGTAATCGACTTTTTAAGTCTGATTTGTGATCAAATGTTTTATGCCTTCCAATGGCGTTTAAAATGAGCGGTCCCCTTGTGGTGATGGAGCCTCTTGAAGCTCTAATTCTACATGAGGAT